GCGCGCTCGATTATCTGACCTACAAATCGACTTTGAATTCGTCGATGGGTTCTACTCCTCCGATCCGGCTCCAGGGATCGACCTCTTCTACCCACCCCCTTACTACTCCTTTTGGGAGCAAGACAACATCGAAGCCGTCTTCCACAGTCGCGACTGGCTCCTGAACTACATAAGAACCAATGGCCCGTACGATGCCCTCATGATGTTTTCGCAGGGATGCGCCGTCGGATCAGCCACCGCCCTCCTTCATTTGCTCGAAGAGCCAAATCAGCCCTTGCCCTTCAAAGCTGCCATCTTCATCTGCGCGGGAGTGCCACTCCGCGTGTTGGAAAAGGTGGGGTATAAGATCGCCCCTGAGGTCTGGGACAAGGATATTGTGACTCGGAAGGCACTGGCAGCACAGGCGGACTCTTCAGCGATCTTGTCGCAGGGCTCCATGCGTTGGCAGGGGGAAAAGGGGATTAGTGCGTCTGAAGCGGATATCCGGAAGGAAATTGCGCCTTCGAACGTCCGGATTGATATCCCGACGGTGCATATATACGGTGACAAGGACCCACGATGGTCTGCCGGCATTCAGTTATCCCAGACGTGTAATGCAACCAAGAGGAGAATGTATAATCATGGCGGAGGGCACGAAGTCCCTCGTACGAATGAGGTGACTACCGGTATGGCCGAGTTGGTGAGATGGGTACTGCGTGAGGCCGCGGTGATTGATGAGTAAACCACCTGCGCCAACTGTCGAGAATTCCCTTCCGATGACCGCTTTTCCATATAAACTGCTATAGATTCTCTCCTAATTTATCTGAATACACTGTCTTGCGTCCGGCAACGTGTGGGCCAATATATGGGGAGTATAGATGTCTAAACAGCAACAGGCGCATGCGAAATAATTTTCCGTAATGAAGTACTCGGCCTAGCAATTGAATGCTCTTATGCATACTGCATTCTTTCTTTCTTTGGAAATTCCCATTTCTTTACTATTCATACCTGATTGACCGAGTCGTCCAAGTTTCCGGAGTGTTGCTCGGTCTCGTGATCATAGACCCAGTTTGTCTTCGCTTGAGGATCGAAGCGGACTTGGTCTTTCTTCCACATCAGTGCGACCCCGAACAGCTGGACCACGCCGCAAGCCCCCACTGCGTACATCTGACGATTATAGCCATGTGCGTACGCAGTCCGGATTGCTTGCTGTACCCCCATCGGCAACCGGGTGAGGTGATTGGGGTCTGCAGCAGCCTCAGCGGGCGCGAGATGCCCCTTGACATAACTGGTCAAGATGCTATTAACAATAGCGATGCCTAATGAGGCACCCAACATGCGTGCCTGGAGGGTCAAGCCCATGACAATGGCTGAAAGGATGTCAGTTGGTATAGGTCGACACATGGAGCATAAGTACTGGATCCCCTTGTAATGTATCGGACTGACCTTGTTCACGATGTCTGACCACCAAGGGAACCGCCATGTATAGGGCCGCGATGGATGTCCCGGTGCCTAGACCAGTCACAACCATGTATCCATACTCACCCGGCCAGGCGTTCACGGTGGGAGGCACGGAAGACAGTAGGAAGGCCCCCACTATCTGTAGCACGGACCCAGCTAGCGTCAGATGCACAAACGGGGTTCTCAAGCGACCGGCGAGGACGCTGCAGAATAATGCCCCCGCTGGCGATCCCACCCCAAAGGCAAGGACTCTGAGACCCGCTTGTATGGGAGTGAAGTTATTAACCGTCTGGAATTTTTGGGGGAGCTCGATGTATAGTATAGTGATTGCAGGCCCGGTCGAAAAGAAGCCACTGCGCGACCGTCAGAGCTTCCACGTCCATGTTTGGCAACTACTACTAGATGGGCCATTACGGAGAGGGGAAGTAGCCACTAACATGATGATTCCCAACACCACCCTGTTTCTGAACAACCGCCATGGCAGCATTGGCTCCATCTGCACATGCTTCCGGCCACTGAGGATCCACTCCCACGTCAGAAAGGCCGCCAGAAGGACACCCGAACCGGTCAAACACCCGACAATGATCCCCGATGACCAGGCATAGCGAACGTTGGCTTCCTCCAGGGCGGCCACTAACAGCAGGGAAAATCCCAGAAGGAGCAGATATCCTAACAGGTCCGCCTGGGTTAGGAATTGATGCAATTTGCTCTGCGCAGAACGAGTTGCCAATCCTCGAGGAAAGTTCCTCGGAAAGGACAGGCAGAGCATAATCCACGCCCATCCTCCTGCAGGCACGCTAGAGACAATAATTAGGAATAGAGCGACACAACAGGAAGGAGTCTAGTTTGCAATGATCTCACTTGAAGAGAAAAACCCAGCGCCACGAGCTGGAGCTGCTAATGCCACCTCCGATCAGCGATCCTAAGATAAGGGCGAAAGTCAGCACGCCGGACCCCACGGCACTGGCAACCTCAAATCTGTTCGGAGGCACAATGCGCAGTAGCGTATATAGTCCAAGCGCGAAAAGCCCGGAGCCACCGATCCCTTGAAAAGCGCGGCAGATAATGCTTTGGTCTTGTCAGCAAGGTTCGATGCCCTCGAATCAAGATCGCCAAAGCCGGCTTACAGTTGGTTGATGCTTTGGGCGGCACCACAGCCCCCGGAAAAAGCAATGAATAGGAGCAGACAGCTCAACAAGGTTGGCTTAGCACCAAAAGCAACCCCACATTTAGCCCAAGGGGCGAGAAACCCCGTGAAGGTTAGAAGGTACGATGTGATGACCCAGCTGCTTTGATTGCCGCCTTCAAGGTGTTCGTTGATGGTGACAAGCGACGTGCTGATGACTGTAATCTCAGCGGTGGCTAAGAAGAGACTCAGCGCGACACTAGTTATCGCGCGATAATCTGACTTAGCATGCATTCGGCCAATTTTCGGTCGGAGAGACGATTGCGCCCGCTTACCTGATCCCTACAATCCATAGTCGAAGCCCTTGCAAATGATCTGGTGAACCAATCTGTGTCTGAGGCTCAGGTACCGACTGATTGGTATTGTCTTCGTGAGTAGCTTTGGGCCTTGACGATAATGATTCTGGGGTCACTGCTGGTAGATCTATCAACTCGGTTCTCGAGCCATGCAACTCAAAACTGCCCATGGTTCGGAGTTCGGAGTGAAGAGAGCCCCACTCAATCGACTAGAGAGACGCCAAAGCTGATCTGTCTTGATGCGATCAATAGTGGCTATGTGTCTTGTCATACAGATTCATTTGTACCTTCGGCCCCAATGCAATTATTCCTCGAATCTCATCGATACAGGACTAGAGGAGATCCGCAGGACTGGCTTTCTTTTTCGGGATTTTCATACGGTAAACAACACCTTTGTAGCTATGTTCATTGACTTCAGCCACCAATACAATATGCATACCTCGGCTGCTCCCTAGCCGGCGGAACTACAGATTATGTGGTTAATCAAGGAACTAGGAGGTATTTGGGTGGTGTGGGGAACAAACACGAAAAACCCTTAAAGTTTGCTTTGTCAAATGTTATGAACTCCTACATTCCCGGCCCCATCGATTAACTACATTGTGTAGAGATCAACATAGCGCTGCCCTCTTGGGGGCACCCAAGTGCATCAATAAGTGGATGCCGTCTCAACTGCCCTGCGAATAATATTGACAGCTTGGGTCACATCCTCCATTGACCCTCCGCCGGGAACTTCGTGCCCTCGACCGTGAACATACACCCATCTCACCTCAGCCTTGCAGACACTATTTGACGTGGCTACCCGGCTGGCTGGATCGTCTTGTGAGCCCCAAATGTGGGCCGTTGGGATTGGAATAATGCCTTTGGTAGCTTCGAGATCAACAGTCATCACACGACCTTTCTGAAGAGCTTCATAATCAAGAGGGGGATGGGTGATTGAAAGGATAATTGCAAACTTGAATGGCATCTCAGCCCGAGGATCCTGCTTGGCAAGATGAATCAGGTACGTGAGGATCATCGTGCCTGCTTGGCTGAATGCGATGACCCCGTCATAGGGCCCCTCTTCAAGAAGGTACTCTTCCAAATAGTGATAAGCCGCAAACCCAGTTTGGGGATTGTGCTCATCGAAGTAGGCATACACTGGTTCATCCTTCAAAGCCACCGCGTCAATACCTGTGCCTCATGCATTTAGCCGACTAGTTCGCGAGGGGTCTGTTCTCCGGCTACGGTACCTGGCTGCATCTTGGAAGGAACGGTTCCTTCAACAAAATCATAGATGTGATTATCGCCCAGTTCATACCGAATGGCAGCCGTCTGGATCTCGAAAATCTTTGATGTTGAAGTGTATCGGTTAGTTCAGAAGATCGCATGAAGCTGATATCGCTATCTAGGGCCAATACTCACTCGAGAATTGGTACCCGCCCCATGTAGACTATCGAGAGGTCAGCATCAAAAAAGAAAAGTTGACAGCAGATTCCACAGCAACTTTACCAGAGAATGCGCATTCTGAATGGTCTAAGACAATGTAAATAATGTTGACGGTTCTTACCTTCAGCAACTGGACTGGCACATCCATTTATCCCCGCGGGTTTGGGTGTCTGGCATTCTACGGAGGGTTACACACATTCCTCTGTGAGCAAGATTTCAGACTAACACTTAGCTGCATGAACCTAGTACTCCTATCATATTTTAGGACCTGACAAGTTCCAATAATGTTCCTTCAACAAATTGCTTTTGATGAATGGTCTTCAGGCTATGCAGGAATGCACGGCCATTTGTCAGACCTCACGGGCACACTGACAGACAGGCTTCCAGCCAAGAGCATTGATGGCGGGGCTATTGACTTCGCCTTGAGAGCTAAATATTCACTAGCCATCTTCTGACCTTGCTCATGGCGGCGATCGGTTATGTTCATCGGGAAATGGCCATTTGAGTAGGTAACCCCCGAGCTCCAGGATCTATTTCCGCATAAATGCCTATCATACCAGGCACTCCCTTGCTCAAATCTAGTCATATAATTTCGCATCAGACATGCGCTGTCGGTTGCTTTACATCTAGACGAGGTTTAACATATCGTTATCATGGCGACCTTTTCCGGAACCAGGGCCCACAATGCCACTGGAGGGAACCTCCTCGCTCCTTTAGCTGTTGTTGGGATGTCGCTAAAATTCCCAGAAAATGCGACATCCCCGGAAGCATTCTGGGAAATGCTGGTTGAAGGCCGATGTGTCTCTACGGAGTTTCCCAGCACTAGAATGAATATCGACGCCCATCACGACGCTGAACGAAGCCGACTTCACAGCGTCACATGCCGAGGAGCACACTTCATGAAGGAGGACCTTGGTCTTTTCGACGCCCCCTTTTTTGGAATCACCGATTCTGATGCGAAGGCTATGGATCCTCAACAGCGCCTTGCGTTAGAGACAGTTTACCGTGCGCTGGAGAATGCCGGGCTTCCGATTGAGCAAGTTGCAGGCTCGAAGACCAGCGTCTTTGCAGGCTCCTTCTGCAGCGATTACCATATGCTGCAGATTAAGGACCCACTCAATGTGCCTAAGAATGCTACTGCAGGAACTGGTCGGAATATGATTGCGAATCGCATCAGTTGGTTTTACGACTTCTTAGGTCCTAGCGCGACTGTTGATACCGCCTGCTCAAGCAGTCTGATGGCGGTGGATCTCACCTGTCAATCTATATGGGGCGGAGATGCTGCAATGGTTCTTCAACCCCGCCCCTTCTCGACGGTCGGCCTAGTATAGACTTGCTAATCTGAGGTATAGGGCGTGGCCATTGGCTGTAATATAATCCTGGCTCCAGAGATGACCATTGGTCTGGACAACCTTGGTCTGTTATCGAGAGATAGCCACTCTTATAGCTTCGATAAGAGAGCCAATGGATATGCCAGAGGAGAAGGTATCGGTGCTGTGGTCATCAAGCGGCTTGATGACGCTATAGCCAATGGTGATACAATAAGGGCTGTCATTCGATCGTCCAGCTCGAACCAGGATGGAAAGACGCCTGGAATCTTGCAGCCGAGCAAGGACGCGCAGGCTCGTTTGATCCGGGATACCTATCAGAAGGCTGGTCTGGACATGGGGGTCACTAGATATTTTGAAGCACATGGAACAGGTAAGAATTCACCCCACCTATCATCGAGGCAAACTAGTTGCTTAACGTCTGCCAGGAACACCCATCGGAGACCCCATTGAGGCTCGAGCTATTGGCATGGCATTTCGCTCGTATCGATCAGAGGAAACGCCCCTATATGTGTATGTATTGGAGCTTGAACAACATTATGGTGCCTAATTGTGTTATAGTGGTTCTGTCAAATCCAATATCGGTCATTTGGAAGGGGCAAGCGGAGTAGCTGGCTTTATCAAGGCGGTTCTTGTGTTAGAGAAGGGAGTTATTCCACCAAATAGCAGCAATCTGCAGAACACAAACCCTCAGATTGATGAAGATTATTTGAGGTTAAATGTAAGGGTACCAACGTCTATGATGGCTCTGTTGCTAATGGCCACGGCAGATAGTAAAAAGCGCCATTGTCTGGCCTACTACTGGACTACGACGCGCATCCGTGAGTTCATTCGGATTTGGTGGGGCCAATAGCCATATTGTGCTTGACGATGCTTACAATTCCCTTCGACTGAGTGGCTTCGAGCATGTTGGACACCATACTGTGATAGTGCCATCACTGAGACAGATCAATGGCGTGCCACAGCTAAATGATCACCACAGTGCCCATGGTGTAGACAAGTTCAACGACCCCACAATTGCCTGCAAAACAGTTCCGAGGCTGCTAGTCTGGTCAGCCGCAGACCAAGCAGGCATAAAACGTCTTGCAGAAAGCTGGAACACGTATCTATCCGATTTGTCGGTTGAAGAGACAGAAGAATACTTGAGAGATTTAGCGCATACCTTATGTGGCAGGCGAAGTCACTGGGCCTGGAGGTCGTTCGTCGTCGCTAAACCAGGGGTACTTCTACAAGATCTGACCAACCAGTTTTCCCCGGCTATCCAAAGCGTCCATTCGCCACACCTTGCATTCGTCTTCACTGGCGTAAGGATCCCTCAAAAAATGACTCTATGACATGCTGACATTGAACAGCAAGGCGCCCAATGGCACGCAATGGGCCGTGAGCTTATAGGTCATTATGAAGTTTTCACAAGAAGCATTACCGAATTAGGCGCGTATCTCAAAGAGCTTGGATGTACTTGGGACATTCTGGGTGAGTAGACTGACTATATATATTGCATCTCTCTGACCTTCATGCGATAGAGGAACTACAGAAACCAGGGCTGGATTCGAATGTGAATGACCCATCTTATGGTCAGCCACTATGCACGGCCTTGCAAATCGCACTGGTAGATCTTCTTGAAAGCTGGGGTATTTCACCTGCTGCAGTGGTTGGCCATTCCTCTGGTGAAATTGCCGCGGCGTAAGTCCCCCCTAGTGCTTTAATGCTCATTACATCTTACTAAGCCTTCTTGCAACTACAGATACTCTTGCGGGGCGTTAACGAAATGGTCTGCACTAAAGATTGCATACTTCAGAGGTTCTCTGGCAGGAGCCGTAGGAAGATCTAGCAGCATGAAAGGAGCTATGCTTGCTGTAGGTCTGTCTAGGGAAAATGCCCAGAAATACCTTGACAAACTTGAGCCCCAGTTCGAGAGGCTGGAAGTTGTTGTCGCTTGCGTGAATAGTCCTCAGAGTGTCACAATATCCGGGAAACTGGAGCAGATCAACGCACTGCATGACCTACTAAATGGGGACAGCGTGTTTTCCCGAAAGCTGGCAGTTAATGTTGCTTACCACTCTTTCCAGATGCGTGAGATAGCTGACCGATATTCCACCGCTCTCGGGGATTTGGAGGCACCATGCAAAAGAAAGAAAAGGGGACCATTGATGGTGTCCTCCGTCACTGGTACATTGATTTCCAGTGAGCGGCTAGTGGAGCCGGAGTATTGGGTCAACAACATGGTCTCGCCAGTGTTGTTCAACGATGCAGTAAGCTATCTATGCTCCCAATCTGGCAAGAAGTACAAGAAAATCGATGGAAGTCACCGCCATGCTGTCAAGATTGATCATCTCCTAGAAATTGGCCCACATTGTGCACTGCAGGGGCCGTGTCGAGATATTGTTAGTGTATTGAGAAAGAGCGACAAAGTATCATACGTTCCCTTCTTGGTACGCAACCGTTCCGCTGTGGAATGCGTCATGGAAGCTGCAGGTCGCCTCCACTGCAGTGGATATCCAATTAGATTGACATCGGTCAACGGAGATGGCGATGCGAAGGCTGGACGAAGACCGCGTGTGCTAGTTGATCTGCCTGAATATCCTTTTAATCACTCTACATCTTACTGGCATGAAAGCCGATTGAGCGAGGGATACAGATTCCGTCGATATGGCTACCTAGAGCTTCTCGGTGCCCCGGAGCCTAATGGAAATACAATGGAGGCCACCTGGAGGAACATAATCCGCGTCTCGGATATCCCCTGGGTGCAAGATCATAAGATCAACAACACTATTCTATATCCAGGTGCCGGTATGCTCGTCATGGCAATCGAAGCCATCAAGCAATTGGCTGATCCGGACCGACTCCTTACTGGATTCAATATACTGGATGCTGTATTCTCTACTGCTCTTCAGATTCCTACGCACGCGGAAGGAATAGAAGTCAATGTTCATCTGAAACGCACGAAGGAGGGGAGGTCTGACGCCACCGGATGGTTTGAATGGCGCATATATGCATACGACAGTGGCAACTGGGTGGAAAACAGCACAGGGTCCATCCAAGCTCTATATGAGAGCCGCAACACAGGCTTTGATGCTAACGTTAGAGAAGAAAGGGAATGGGAAATTCACCTTCTTGAGACCTACAACAGTGCGGTACGCTCATGTACTTCGACTGTTGATGCAAAGTCTTTCTATAAGCATCTCAACAGCTGTGGATATCAGTACGGACCTGCATTTGCCGCGATTCAAAATCTCAGTTACAGTGAGCCGGACTGCAAAGCGCTCGTCACAGACATCCGGACATTCCACCCCACCGGCGTTTACCCGAGTCATACTATACATCCTACAACACTGGACGCCATCATTCAGATGGCAGCTGGGCTGGTATCAACCACGGGCCAGAGTGCGACCAATGTGGCTGTACCTGTGCGGATTGACCGGCTCTGGTTGACCAACTCAGGTGGTCTCAGTCATCCGTTCGCAGATGCTGTCAGGGCTTGTGCTACCGTCAGTCAATCTGTGGTAGGATATAAAAGTTACTCAATGACAGCAGTAGACGGGGAAGTCTCTAAAGCACTACTGAATCTTGAAGGCTTAAAGCTGACGGCTGTTGCCGGCGGAGGGACGACCCCTGTCTCGGACCAATTCAAGACGGACAACCTATGCCACTACATAGCACATAAACCTGACATTGACCTCTTGACAAGTGAAGAGGCCCAGAGCCTTTATGGGGTCCACGAATCACAAGTCATAGAGCCACTGGAGTACTACACTGAGCTTGACTTTCTTGCAGCAACTTGTGTGAGCAGGTATGCAGCTTCGTTCCGCGAAGAGGAAAGAGACAACATGCCACCTCACTTGAACAAATACATCGACTGGGCCCTCGAAGTCAAAAGAACACTCGATCAGGGTTTATCCGAATTCAGCTCCAAGAGATGGTTAGATCGCATGCATGACGATGACTATATCAGCAAGCTACATAAACGAGTTGAGAATGGCAGTAAAAGGGGTCAGTTAACGAGTACCTTATGCCGAAATCTGGCTGATTTCGTGAACGATCCGCTTTCCCATCTGTTCGGCAACAATCTGCTCGCGGATGTGTATCGTGAAATGGTAAGCAAGTCTGAGAATGGATGTGGTCTGGTATCATTAACACATTAATATATATAGCTTTGCGCCGACTCAATAAAATCACGTCTGGATAGGGTCATCGGCGCACTGGGACACAAAAACCCACGGATGAAAATCCTAGAAGTGGGAGCTGGCACAGGAGCCATGACTGACTTCTGCATCAAAGCATTGAGCATGGACTCTCCAGCGGACCCAAATCTGCGTCGTTACGGTCAGTGGGACTTTACTGATATTTCGAGCTCCTTTTTCCCGGGGGCACAGGAAATGTTTGCGGCAGAAGGCCAGCGTATGCGATTCAAGGTTCTTGATATTGAAAATGATCCTGAAATGCAGGGTTTTGAGTGTGGCACTTATGATATGGTCGTAGCATTCATGGTAAGACAGAGTGCGGACAGGTATGGGTTCTCGCTAACGTTCCTAGGTAATACATGCCACGAAGGACTTGCTTGTTAGCTTGAGTAATGTGCGGAAACTATTGAAGAAGTACGTGAATTTGTCTTTACTTAAGAAAGGAATACCTGCTGATATGAGTCTAGGGGTGGGAGGCTTCTACTGTTCGAAATCACTCACCTTCACCCGCTCAGGATCAATCTTATCTTTGGTTTGCTTGATGGATGGTGGAGAAGTACGTCACTCTTTGTCCGCGTGCTAATCCCCATTGACCATAGTAGGTACGGAAACATACCGCCAGACGGGCCCCTGCATCAGTTCCGAGAAGTGGGGAGAGCTCCTAAAGGAGACGGGCTTCTCAGGGTGCGATGTCGTAATCGATGATTACGAGGCCGATATTTGCCGTGAAGGAAGCATGATTGTGTCAACAGCCGTAGCTCCAGCCCCTACCGATATCACGGCAGTGAGCATCATCATCAATCCGGAAGACCAGATACAGGCTGATCTGGCTGCAGCGATATCTGATCGGCTCCAGCAGCTTGGTATTTCAAGGATCACCGTGACATCCATGGCTGTCATCGCACAGCGAAAGCTATCAGCGAACTTGTTAGACATCAGCCTTCTGGAAGCGACAACCCCTTTCATATGCGACATGGATAGCTCGGAGTATGAAAGCTTGCAGGCGCTGGTAGCTTCCACCAAGAGCCTCATCTGGGTTGATGAGGGCGGAGGGCGGCAGCCTTATCCCAAATACCGACTAGTCGACGGGCTGTTTAGGGCTCTTAGTGGGGAGATGTACCGGGCTCGACTGGCGAACCTGAGTCTGGAGCGTCACTCCTCAAGGGACCACAAAGCAGCGCAGATTTGCAAGCTAGTCTTCTCTGTCATTGGCGATGTTGAAAGGGGTGCAGACACGGAATACACGGAAATAGATGGAGTGCTTCACGTCAGTCGCCTTGTAGATGCTAGGTCACTGTCTCAAGAGGTAGTCAGAAAGGCTCTTCCACAGCACGAGGAGCTGCTACCGTATGGTTCAGGACCATCGTTGAGACTCAAAATAGGATCACCTGGTCTCCTGAACACGCTGCATTTCATCGAGGACAGGTCCCTGGAAAACCCACTTGGTCCAAAAGACATACGAATCAAGGTCAAAGCCGCTGGTTTGAATTTCCGCGACGTGCTTGTTGCACTGGGAAGGTTGGAGAGTGATACCCTCGGGGCAGAATTTGCTGGTGAAGTTGTCCAGGTTGGAGATCAATGCCAGAAGTTCCGGCCCGGCGATAGAGTTGTTGCTTTCCACGCCTGCCGCTATGCTAATTATGTTACTTTACGAGAGGACATGCCCATCGTCGGGATCAGGGACGAGAAGATGCCGTTCACGACGGCTGCTGCTATCCCTGTAGCTTATGCAACGGCGTGGATAAGTCTTACCAAGATAGCAGCGCTTCAAGCAGGAGAATCCATACTGATTCACTCTGGGGCAGGCGGTACAGGACAGGCTGCTATACTGGTTGCCCAATACCTAGGAGCGACGGTCTTCACAACAGTTTCAACTGAAGAGAAGCGGCAGCTTCTGATGGACCGGTATAACATCCCAACGGAGCATATTTTCTCTAGCCGGAACACACTATTCGCGAAGGGTATCCGTCGGTTGACTGCCGACAGAGGTGTGGATGTTGTTTTGAATTCGCTGTCAGGTGATGGGCTTATTGCCTCGTGGGAATGCGTTGCACCGTACGGTCGGTTTGTGGAGATTGGCAAGAACGATATCCTGTCGAACTCCAAACTGCCAATGCTCCAATTTGAGCGAAACGTGAGCTTCACGGCTACTGACCTTGCTGGGATGTCGATCGACAGGCCGCATATAATCAGAGCGGCTTTGGAGACAGTGTTCTCCCTGCTTGAAGAAGGCAAACTAGGCCTTGTTCATCCTCTGCAGGTCCGAGGTATTGCAGATATTGAACAGGCTTTCAGGCAGATGCAGACTGGAAAGAACTCGGGCAAGACTGTGTTGGAGATGAGGGACACGGACGAAGTGATGGTAAGTCAGACGATCAAGGTAGGAACAGCATATGCTAATCCAAACAGACTGTTCTTGACACGAAGCCTACATACACATTCAAGCCAGATGCCACATACGTTGTTGCGGGTGGCCTGGGCGGCCTTGGTCGAAGCATTTCTCGTTGGCTTGTTGAGCGGGGAGCACGCAATTTGATACTGCTCTCGCGCTCTGGCCCGGCAAGCCTGCATGCCAGGAGCTTGGTTGAAGAGCTACACGCGCGAGGCGTACGAGTCATTACTCCTGCATGTGATATCACGAACAGAGAACTACTTAAGACAGTCCTCGAGGTCTGCAGCCAGCTGATGCCTCCCATTAAGGGCTGTGTGCAGGCATCAATGGTCATTCGCGTAAGCTCCCAGCAAGTTACCTTGCGCTAAACAACGCACCACAGCTAACTCTGCAATGTATAGGCCCATAACTTCGAAAGCTTACTCTACCAATCCTGGAAAGAAACCACAACCCCCAAGGTCCAGGGATCATGGAACCTCCACGAGCTCCTTCCACGAGGCATGGACTTTTTCGTTCTCATGTCCTCCGTCTCGGGCATCATGGGAGTAGTTAGTGACTCTGGCTACGCCGCAGGCAACACGTTCGAGGATGGACTAGCGAGATACCGCGTCGGAATCGGCGAAAAGGCGGTCTCACTCGACCTAGGACTCTTCCTAACAGCAGGATACCTAAAAGAGAACCCCGAGAGTCGAGAGCTATTCCTCTCTAAGACGGTCCTTGACGAAATACAAGAATCCCATCTACACGCCCTACTAGACACGTACTGCGACCCCACTCACGGCCCGATCTCCATGCAGGAAAGCCAAGTGGTCGTGGGCATCACCCCCAGCAGACAGAAACTGAAAACGCACAAGGCTGAATGGCTAGACCGCCCACTCTTCCGACATTTATCACTGACCGACGGCAGCACAGAGAGCGGGAACTCCGAAGATTCCTCCAACCTGGCAGCCCTGTTTGCGGGGGCGTCATCAACAGAGGAGGCCACGGCGATCGCCATGCGCGCAGCACGGGAGAAGCTCTCCATCATGATGGCGACGCCAGTGGACGAGATCGACACGGACAAGCCCATTCACCAATACGGAGTGGACTCGCTGGCGGGGGTGGAGCTGCGGAATTGGTTTGCGCGCGAGCTGCGGGCGGACCTGGCCATGTTTGACATTCTGGGTGGTGCAAGTCTTGCATCGGTGGTAACGTTGGCGGTGGGGAAGAGCGAATACCGACGATGATCGGGATGAGCTGTACGGAGTAGGCTTTGAGGATGCGGGGGGTTGGTTGCACTGCAGGAAATGGAATAGTCGGGTATTCAACTCTCGGATTTCTGCATCGGGCTTTGCCCCGACGGCAATTGACGGATATTGAGTTTCCGTTTTGGGAAGTATCCAGATCCAGTATATACATACCGCCAGTATAGAAGTAGCCCTGAATGAATCACCTATACTCCCCAGTTGCTTTCCAATCCCTCTTTCCCATATTCCAAAGAAACAGACAATATGTCCAAACCTAGAGTCCTCCACATCGGCGACCCGATCAAATACAACCACGACATCTACGCGCGCTTCGCCTCACAATTCGAAATCATCCGCCCCAGCACCGAAGAACGCGCCCGCGATGCCTTCAAACAAGCCCTAAAAGAGCGCCGCTGGGGCGACTTTGACGCCATCTTCCGGCCCTTCTGGAACACAGGCGGTGAAATGGGCCGCTGGGACGAGGAATTGATCTCGTTGCTGCCCTCGTCGGTTAAGATCGTTGCTTCGGCGGGTGCAGGCTACGATTGGGTGGATGTAGATGTTTTTGCTAGATATGGTAGATCCTTCCCCTTTCCCCTTCTTCTTCTTCCTCTTCCCTTCATTATCTCCCCAGCAGATATAAGCAGATATACTAATGCAAGTTTGATAATGATACAGGAATCCTCTACTGCAACGGCGCCGCCGCATCCTCCGAATCCGTCGCCGACATGGCCCTCCTCCTCATCCTCAGCGTATTCCGTAACCTACGATGGTCTCACTCCGCAGCACACAGCATCAACTCGACACAATTCCTTGACGCGCACACGAACTCGCCCCTGACGGCACGGAATCCCAGTACCCAGACCCTGGGGATCATCGGGCTGGGCCAGATCGGGTATACGATTGCAAGGAAGGTACACGCCGCGTTTGGGATGAAGATTTTGTATCATGATATAATCCGGAAGGAGCGCCGGGTTGAGGAAGAAGTCGGGGCAGAGTACGTGGGCAGTCTAGAGGAGATGTTGGGACGGGTGGATTGTGTGGTTGTGGCGACGCCGTTTGCGGGGAGGGTGTTGATGGATCGGGAGATGTTTGGGAAGATGAAGCGGGGGAGTCGGTTTGTGAATGTGGCTAGGGGGGGGCTTGTGGATGAGGAGGCGTTGGTGGAGGCCGTGGAGAGTGGGAGGTTGAGTGGAGTGGGGATGGATGTTCATGCTAATGAACCGTTTGTGCATCCGCGGTTGGCGGGCAATTCGAGGGTTATGATGATGAGTCATAATGCGGGGGGGACGGTGGATACGCATGTTGGGTTTGAGAGGTTGGCGATGGAGAATATTGAGGGGTTTTTGGTTAGAGGGAGGGCGTTGACGCCGGTTAATGCGCATTTGATTAGGGGGAGTAAGTTGTAGTTGGATGGAATATATTATGTGTATCAGTCTCGGGTAGTATAAGTAGTAGTTAAACATGAATCGGAATAACTTAGTATCAGACTTGGTGAAGGAAGGGTAAGCAAACACAAAAGTCAGCAGTAAGTAAACTACCATGAAAATGTCTCCTCGTAAAAGTCCACCTTCTTGTTCCCTTGCTTCGCCCTCACTACTTGACGCACATCGTCGCCCATCTCGCCAGGTCCGCAAACACTCACAGCCATTGCGCCGACCTGGTGCGCCATCTCGACATCCAGAGTGTCCCGGAAGGATGGCCTGCCGGTGTTGATGCTTATCGCCACTCCTGTCGGGGCGGAAATGGCCCATGGTGACTCTGGGGAGAAATCTTCGGGGCTGCTGTCGCGAGTGCTGAGGTAGATCTGGATCGACAGGGCGAGCTCGGGGAATTCAAAGTAGGACTCCTGTTTTGGCACGTTCGGCCCTTGCAGGGCTGGGTGGCTAAAGAGGGATACCATCCAGGGCTGAATCCAGGACAAGTGGTCTAACAAGGGGTAAGTCATGGCTGCTTGAACAAAGTTCTGCTGGTCGACTCACCTAAGCTGCGGACGACCCAGACGAGGGTCACTCGTCGGACAGCAGTTGACCGGGATGCGAACCCGTTCACGATCTCGAGGAGGTAGGCGACTGGGTGCGTGATACCAATGCCGCCCGCGACCAGAAGCACTGATCCATATGAATCAAGTGACTCCAGCCCCCCTGTTCTTGTCAGATACTATCTGAGCTATGCATGGGAAGGCTTACCGTATGGCCCTTCTGCAAGGGTGATCGCATTGAATGTCCGCTCGGGCGAGTTGCCCGCCTTTCGTACGAGCTTACTAGTGAGTCCATCGCGTCCTTTGACCAGGAAAGATACCGTCGTCTCCGGCGACCCTCCTACTGCACGATCGAGGGAGTCATTGGAGGAGTTGGTGGCATCCTTATCAATCACACTTGTTCCGTTTTTCGATGTCCAGGCTACCGAGAAGGGATGCGAAGTCCACAAACCCACTGATGGCATATACAAGTACGCATATTGGCCAGCTTTGAATCTCCATGGCCGTGCCAAGGTGACATTCACTCGCGCCACATCACCAGGGAGCATCTCCACGGTAGCCTTGGAGCATCGCGTGCCAATATTGCGCCAGATAACACATGCCAGTCGAATTGCTCTCTGAATGCTATTAGCCATACTCGATGAAATTTGACACGAGGAATGGACTATCTCTCATCCCTCTGAAGGAACAGAATGCTTACATCGAAGCCCCAGAGAACCACTGTAACCAGCATGGCATATTGATGCGACATGCCTTCCAAGTGGTACCATAAGCCCACGAATGCCATAATGGCCAAAGCGATATGGGAGTGAAGGAATGCTTCATAGAATGCATGTCTGACTGGCGACAAGGACTGAAAGAGGATCGCCGTGAACGCGAAGATGGCCTACATTCATCGAAGTCATCAGCGATGAGGCCCAAGCCTATTGCAGCGATAAAACATACAACCAAGCCGCAGATGAAGAATTTAGTATTCCAGATGAGATGTGTGGCCGCGACCAAGCCGCCCTCTGTCGACCGTCAGCTTTCCACATCGCCCAATCGCACAACCATACTTACCTTCGAACACTTTCATTTTAATAGCAGCAATCATATGGACAAGCGCCGAGAAGATGATGGTCCGTCCAACCCAACGGTGCATGAGATTGAAACAATCGAATTTGATGCCCAGAAGAGGTACCAAAGGGTTATTGCGGCCTGCTGCCAAAACCAGCGCGGGCAGGTTCAACACCGCCATACTACCTGCCGAATATTGAAACTCGAAGATCACTTCGTCCCAGTCTTTCCACCAGTCAACCATGACAAAGAAGAAGACAACGTTGATTGCTATGTAGACGGCGAGCAGAGCTGCTTCAAACCGCAGCGGAAGGATGCCCATGTGGATGTTGTTGCCGAGTTTCAAGTAGCGACTATGGCGTTTGGAGAGGATTGGCGCATGGAATACATGCTTGTATAAACTGGTCGAGATGGTGCTCCTTCGTTTGAATCGACCCTGCTTATCGGTTCGTAGAATTTCGCGTAAACGCCGGCGATGGTAAACTCGTATTAGTGTACGGCCAACAAACAGAACGAACAAGGCTCCAGCGAGAATGAACATGGGCGTGGCCAACGCTACATTCATTGGTGGATGGTAGTCTATCTGTCGGGCCTCCCCGGGCTGTAGATGATCTACCCCCATGATGTCTTTGCCTTGAGGCTACCTGCGTAGGCGTAAAGTGTGGGGCTGGGTTCAGTGTTGAGATCTATGTCGAGTCGACGGAGGCGCGCGTTCCCAGAAAATGAAATTTAAAGAAACCAAGTCACGCCAACAGGGTATTCTCCAGCTACATATATGACAAGTCGAGCTACCATGCATATGGTTCCGATCGTGGCGCCCCGAAGCGACTCCCGAGTATTTCTTCGATGCCGTCATGTAACCGGATCGGGGCTTCAGAGGCCATCTTGGATTGGGCTGACAGATCTCCAGTGTGTCGTGCTCTCAGGATATTGGCGCATCCAGACACTACATCTCAGCTTCCACATGTATCAGACGATTGCAACCTAGAAGAGTGGGGGGCTGGGAGGGTCCGCGGAAGCGTGCCTGGAAATTGTCTACTTCAGTGGGAAACAGGCACAAGAGCTCCTCTGGCTAGCATGGCAAGCTTCAATCTTGAGTATAATGGCCAAGGAAAAGCGGGTTCTTCAGATTTGGCTTCCGTTAAGCTTTCTTCAGCGTGTGGCCAATCAATTGTTGGTCTGCCGTGCAATGGAATGGCACCGCCGGAAACGGAAAGAAGGTGGATGTAGCTGCAGCGTCCACAGACCCGGATAGACTCCAATCATCCTCCTGTGGATAGCAGATTGTTGCATTCGCCCGTCTTTCTAACTGGTTTACAAATACATGACTTGATGGTGATGTAAGCTTCGGACGTGGGTGGTGTTGGATCCCAGCCTAAAACGAGAGTTGAGCAGCTCAATGGATGTACCGAGTAGGGTATCCAGGAATACGTCTACTTGCGCAACTAACAGAGAGTCTGTTGTCGAATGCATCTAAAACACATTTGGATGTTGAGTGGCTGGCCATGCTTGACAGAGACATGTTCAATTCCATCCTTCCCATATAGGAGGCAGTCAACAGGACTGACGTCATGGACTGGCTGGATTCCATGGAGAGCACACGATTAACAAGGAGGGACGGAAATCTATGATCGCTTGAATGCCTGGGGAACCCGAGATAATGGTTGCATCCCGACCGATAACCATCGGCCATTGAAGCTCGACCTGAGCCGGTTGCAACGGCGCAAGCTTGGGACTGTCTCACTCACTCAGGGCTCCCGCCGAAAGTACCTGATTAGCTCATCAACTGAGGCTTGTCGAGGCCCCGATCGACCATTCCAATGCCACCATATTTTCCACCATACCATGAGATTTTTTGTTCTAGCCAGGTCAACTGTCACCTGCCGTGAAAATATAGCCAACATCAGGCTCTCGGCCACTTTCAGGCACCATGCGACGTCATGAGGTGAAGACGCGGCGCAGT